AATGTCAAAAAATTTGACATACTTGTGACTAATCTATTCATGAGGGCACAGTCTTCATGAGTTAATCACTTCTAAATTACTCTCCTTTCAATACCATGAGAGGGGAGACTTTTTTCTTTTTATTTATTTTTCTCTCATATAATATACATCCTAATGGCTGTTTCCCCTTCCTCTATTCCTTTCAGTTCCTCCTACTTCCCCTCTCCCCCAGATCAACTACTTTTCTCTTTCTCTTCAGAAAAGAGCAGGCCTCCCAGGGATATCAACTGAACACAGACTATCAATATGCAATAAGACTATGAACAAACAATGAATTGAGGATGGATGAGGCAAACCAGTAGGAGGAAAAGGAGTCCCAAGAGCAGGCAAAAGAGTCAAAGATACCCCACTCCCACTGTTAGGAGTCCCAAGAAAACTCCGACTAAACAAGTATAAAATATATGCAGAAGACCTAGCTCACACCCATGCAGGTCCAGTGATTGTCTCTTCAGTGCCTGTGAGTCTCTATGAGCCCCACTTAGTTGGTTCTGTGGGCTGTGTTCTCCTGGTGTCCTTCACCCCTCTGGCTCCTACAATCCTTTCTCCCCCTCTCTTCTGGGGTTCCCAGAGCTCTGCCTAATGTTTGGCTGTGGGTCTCTGTGTTGCTTCCATCAGTTGCTGGAGGAAGCATCTCTGATAATGATTGGGCTAGGCACCCGTTTATGAGTACAGAAGAATATTATTAGGAATAATTTCATTGACTTTTGTTTTCTTTTGCCAATTTTGTTTGGTTCTACCCTAAGTCTCTGAGCTATTAATCTTCTGGTTTCTGGCCATCCAGGTAGTGTTACGCATGGGTCCCCTCTCTGTGGTGTGGACCTCAAGTTACCTCAGTCATTGGTTGGCAACTCTCACAAGTTCTATATCTCCATTGCCCCAGCGTATCTTGCCGGCATGACAGGTTGTAGGTGAAGGTTTTGTGGCTGGTTGGTGTCCTAGTCCCATCACTGGAAAACTTCTAGTCACAGACAAGTTTTGGATAGTGTATAATGAAATTTAAAATGAGTAGCTTTTGGGTGAGACCACAGTGAAATTCAAGCACATAAGCATTGGGCACAGGAAACTACATGTGGACATTCTGAGAACTTTGTTTTTCCCAAGTCACAATGTCAAGAAAGTAAAAACAAACAAACAAACAAAACCAAAGCAAAGTGATGACAAAAAGAGTCAATATGAGGATTGAGAGGAAAACATGGGCTTCCTGCTGTTATCTGGACCAACAATGCAGTTCTCAGAAATACCAGAATAAAACAAAAGTTGAGGAACATGTCTGAGATTTTGAGGCTTCTGTTTGAGACATTTAAGCCTTGCGCTGGGATGGTAGAGGTACAGTAAGTTTCTGGTGTCAGGAGGAAGGGAGTGAGCCAAGACAGACTTTTATGTTAACCTAGGCCATCACTTTCATTATTATTATTATGTGATTTTCTCCCTTTAGTCTAGCATAGTCTTCTGGATGATAGTTATGATTTGGAAGAACAATATGTATAATTTTATCTAGGACTTCCTTTGAAGTTTTAAGTAAATTATATCCTGAAGTGTGAGTTTTCTTGTGCATTAAAAAGTTATGGATGCATATTTTAATGGATATAGTCACATTATTTTGCAAGATTAAAATAACTTAATTCAATATAAGAGAGCATTATGTGCCTCAAATAAACAGAGTACTGCTTTAGTCACTAACACTCTTTACAAAATAGTTTCCCTGAGGTATACACATGGGTATATTTTATGTTCAACTTGATGCTGTAATGGATACATGCCCATCACCGTGATGAACACTCTGACTCCAAAGTGATTCCCAGTGCGATGCTGCAACAACGAGACAAAATGGGGAATCACACAACACCATAAGTGGTGGGAATGGAACCCAGACAGTTAATGCGTGTGTGATAAGTGCTTTCCCTAGCTGTATCTGTGTTTATACTGCTTATTAGTAATTTGCAGTCTGTAAACTGCCCTTCAGTGAACTTTCCCTTTGATCTCAGACTTCTAGGTGGCATACCTGGCTTATAGGTTTACACTTTTCTCTCCTTGTCATTTGGGCCATTCAGACCCAGGTGTGGTTTGCTCACTCAATTATGGGGACCAGCCTCCTTCTTGCTCATGAGGGTCTACAGAATTCAGAGTTGGTTCTTCATTGCAACAGGATTTGTCTGGGAAAAAAATGCATATAGGTTCATCTGTTTCCACAAGTAAATAATGCTGGGCCAGCTACAACTGTTGCCATGTATTAACGGCAGGCAAAGTTGACACACTGTGGGCCTGTTACCTAGTTTGTTCATACTTAGGCAACATCTTCAGTTATGTAAAGTGAGTGAGTTCACCCGTTAGATATTTTCCCTATGGACTGGCTCTATTGTCTGTAGCTCCACCTTTATATGTTGTAGACATGCCAGCCTCCTTTCTGTTTGTCCAAAGTATCTGTCACTTCCCTACCTGAGCACTGCTATGTTTTCTATCCTCCTTCAGGATACACTCGTGCAGGTCTTCAAGTAAGCTAGCCTCTACTATTTCTCAAATGCCAGGTGAAGGTGATTATAGTAGAGAGGCCTACTTTGCCCATGCCCTCCACACTTACTCATCCTGTAGCTTTCATACCAGAATATATTTCCTAGCTCTTCTTTTTTTCCTAGCACTTCTTAATCGCTGCATTTCTTTCCTTCACTTGTTAATTGCTAGCTAAATTTCTCCATACATAAGCACCATCATGCAGATAGAAAGAGGCTTTCCAGAACAATAATACAATAAATAGTAATAAAATAAATAAAAATACAATAAATAATAATAAAACAGTATTTTCAGGAAGGTGATGCCCAGTAAGTGTATGCAGTATACATAGGTGCACAATGAATTCTTTTTGTTAAAATTAAAATCCTAGGAATTAATAAACCCTACATGCCTACTAATATCCTAGTCACCATTTGTCGCTGGATAGATAGCATTGTTTTTCCACGATCTTCCAAATAGATATTTTTATCTTCTCTCATAGCCTTTTGAATATTCTATTTTTTGTGTGATAGTTGTCTTTATTATTAGTTTAAATATAGAGGAATTAAGGAATATGTTTGATTTACTTTAATACATATTTCAGATTTCAGAACAGCACCTGAAAAGATATTTGATGAAGTCAGAAATAAATAAAAATGAATAGCATGCTAAGACTGTTGACTATTCCATTCAATTATTTGTTGTGAAATATTTAAAGCATACATAAAGGATGAGCACTATTATGCTAATGTCAATGTACTCACCGACAGCTTTAAAACATTGATATGAAGATATTAATTCCTCATGTGGCTGTGCTACAATCTTTTTCTTTTCTTTCTGATCCTGAAGTTAGTGTATTTACTATTGCTTACTGAGTGTGTTTGCATGGATATTTTCCATTACTCTTTGTGTGACCTGCATGTGTGAAAACACATTTACACTATTCAGAACTATTTTAATTATTTCTAATGAGTATAGAGGTCGTTTTATAACTTCCTTTTTTATTATTGTGTTTCTCAGATGGTCTGTGTTGATGCCTTTAACAGTAGAACCCAGTGGTGAGATCACTTATTTTAATTGCTGCGTAATATTCCTTTATGGAATCCTTTCATAGCTTCTCTGTGTATTATTTGGAGAAAAGGCAGTTAATTTCCCCTTCTCACTTTTAGAAACAATACTATAATGAACATTCTCATACAATTTATTGGTAGTCTTGGAATACATTACTCCAAGGATTATACTGAGACAGATTTCCATTTCGTAATGAGGGTGTTCATTATGATAAAGAACAAAAGCATAGGAGCCAGGGTTCAAATACTTATTGGCCCTTACTAGTACTTCCAGGAAGCAGTGGGCACCAGCTATTTTCTGCTCTTCTTCTGAGTATACATGCCTTACCTCAGCCCTTGGCATCACGAAATCAACTTGGCATTGGTATTTTTGGCTCTAGTGTATCCTGCCTGAGCCAATTCCTGGCTGCTACTGCCTGCTTTTGGAGCCAGAGACCAGCAGGTCTGAAGCTTCACGTAATCACCACTTTGCATTTGGGTTCCATTCCTGATCCACTGAGAGGTTTATTTATTTATTTATTTTTGAGCCTGGGGATTGACTTCCTTTCTAAATATTTTATTTACCATTGCAGTGAGTCTGTAGCAGAGAGAGTAAGTGAAACATGAATTTATTTCAATCCCTATAATCAGAAAGTTGATAATACCTGGACGACCTTTTAAAATAAGCACACACTCTTTGACTTGTCTAATCATGGGTTTTTCCAGCTGGAAGGCATTTTACAGAAAAGGCCAATAACCTTACTTTATAGGTGAGGGAATTGTGGTCCCGAGAAACTAAGTGATTTAGTGATGTCACATCTGTAGTTGATGGTGGCAAGTCCAGATCGAAGCCCATGGGTCTACTCAATTCTCCCTTTGCCACTATGTCCACTGCCGTAGTTTTCTCTATAAGCTAAGATTAAATGTAGCATTTTATTTTTAATAGGACCAAAAGAATGTACTAGAATACAGGAAATTAGAAAAAATGACACCATATTTAGAAACTAATGTGAAGTGTTTTCTCTGAGATAGGTTTGAGATAAAAGTGACAATACCCTCATTCCTGAGCTGATCATATTTTCATTAGAAGGCGTGATGCCTTTGACTCTGGGTTCCTGGTGCATTTGGTTTCCTTGACTTTCTGAAACTTATTAGGATGGGCCCATCAATAATGTTGTGGATACTTCCAGCCACCTGGAGAGCTGGGCCTGAAAATGAACTGTGATGAATGAATATGACCAGCATCGATAGTGATAGCCTATATTTCTACTGTCATATAGACACAGCTGACTGTTTAATTACAAAGAAAGTGATAAGGAGCAAGTGTTCCTTCTTGCTAGTATTTCTGAACTTTTTTAGTTATTAAATTTAGAATCCCGTGTCATTGTTAAAACCTTTGGAACTGTTTTTATTCTGTTTTTCTAGATCTTTTAGCTGTGCCTAAGCATCCGTATGCAGCTATGGAGAACTGGGGACTAAGTATTTTTGTGGAACAAAGAATACTGCTGGACCCCAGCGTTTCATCTATTTCGTATTTGCTGGATGTCACCATGGTCATTGTTCATGAAATATGTCACCAGGTAGGAGAAAAGGAACAGGTGTAAGTATAATGTGAAACTGTCTAGAATGTGGGGTGACTTCGCACATCTAAATGAGGAGGCTAGTTTGTATCCTCCCATCTATGTTTGTACAAATCACTGTGCAGTTCCTCTGCATGGCATGCCATTTTTTCCTCAGACAATAAGGTAAGCACACATACATAAACTGATGGTATCGAGTAAGCAGCTGCCACTGGGTTTGGTTGAAATGTGTGGCTGCCCCTTCAGAGCCCCTGTGTAGTTGCTGATTAGCCACACTTCCGTTTCTTTCATTATTAGTGTGTACACATGGTAAGTGCAGTGAGAGAAATGATTTATTTTATTGTGGAGAGATGTAGCTGAGTTTTGTGGATGTGTCAAAATTTGCTCTTGCCAAAACTGGTTTGTTATCCTTCTTTCCCTGTCATGTAGACCCACAGGAAGTCTTTCACTAACTCAGTTCTAGACTCTGCTCAAAGCAGTGATAGTTTTTTAAACTTGGCATACTTAGAAATTCATATGCAAATTGGACAATTTCATAGCGAAGCTAAGATAAAAATTAATTTCAATTTGAGTTTATTAACTTTCTTACTAGTGGAATGTCATAGATTGGTATTTTGTAATACTTGTTATATCTCGATTTAAAATAAAACACTGAAAACAGACATTTTTTTTTATTAGTTCAAATTAGGAACAAGCTTGTTGTTTCACATGTCAATCCCTTCTCCCCCTCCCTCCCCTCACCCTCAACCCTCCTACTCCACCCCGACCTACCCCCTACCCCATCCACCCTCCACTCCCCAGGCAGGGTAGGGCTGTCAACCAGGGCTCCGCAAAGTCCACCACATCATCCTGGGCTGGTCCTGGGCCCTTCTCCATGTGTCCAGGGCAAGAGTGTATCCCTTCACATGAGATGGGCTCTCAAAGTCCCTTCTTACACCAGGGAAAAATACTAATCCACTACCAGGGGCCTCCTAGAGTGTAGAGGCCTCCGAATTGACATCCATGAAACAGACATTGTTAACAGATAGCAATGCTCACCCTACTTGCTAGGGACTATGGGTACCATTTATGCTTTAAAAATCAGAAATCTCAGTGTGGTACAGTATAACTTTATATATTATAAATTCCAAATACTAAAAAAAGAGTGATGTGATAAATGCTGATAGTGAAGAAAGATGAGCAGTTAAATGCTTGCAAATGAACCTGATTTGATGAGGTCTATGCTGGGTGACTTTTTGCCTGAGTAACTTCTGCCTCTTGCAGTGAACCAGTGAGAGAGCTGTACACTTGTGTTCACTCAGTCAGACATGGTTCTGACCCCAGGTTACAGAGGAGTCACTCTAGCTGTAACTGGGGTTGTTCAGTGCCAGGGTGGTTCCTCCCTTGACTTACAATTCTGAGGCAAATGTAATTTCCTTTTGGGATATTCCTGTAAGTAGAAGAGGTCTGTGAATCTGTTGAGATGAGGCCAGTGATAGTACTGCTATTGTTCAGGACTGTGCCTTTTCCATGTTTCCTGTTATATATTAGTTTCCTGTGGTAGCTCAGTGGTAGTAGGCTCCTTTCCACAAAGAAATGAGATAAGCAAAGAAACATCTGTCATAATTTCACTATGATCGCCACATTTGATTTCTCTATTATCCTCTTCACCTGTTTGTTGTCACAACTCTGAAGACAGGTTGTCAGCTTGAAAGAGAAATGTGTGTCTTGGATACAGCAAAACATTCAAAATACAGGATGCATGGCTATTACCATATTTGGAGCTGTATTTTATTTTTCTTTGAATTAGAGATTCTTTAAAGGAAATGATACTTAATTATTCACATTGGAACACTTGGTTGGGTCCTTGAGATACCGTATGGTGACCCTGGAAGTTGTCTATGATCTGGTATGCTTTTGTCTGTCAAGACTGTTTCATTTTTTTCTTTCACTTGGTCAGCCAGACCAGCTTTCCATATCTTCTGTTTCTAAAAGAACAATATTCTCACACAGACTCTTCACACTATGGTTTGCTTGTGTCTGCTGTCTGCCTGGAATCCTCTTGCCCTAGACTATCTCATGACACCATTAAAGTGTCATCCCAGTTGTCTTCTCTAGAAGGCTTGTGATTCTATCATCACAAGTGGTCCCATCTCTATCCCTCTGTTACTTTGTGAAGATTTGAATTTATTCTGTTCATTTTTTAAATTATGTACAGTCCATAATTGTCACCTGTGTGAGAATAGACACTATCTAGGTTTTCTCCATTGAATTTCAAGTCTATTTATTTATTTATTTTTATTTTATAAATAATCTTATTTTACATATCAATCCCCCATTACCTCACCCTCCCATCCTCCCATGCCCCCCACTGACCTCCCAATCAACCCCCCCACTCCCCAAGGATAGTGAGGCTTTCCATGGGTGATCAACAAAGTCTGTCATATCATTTGGGGAAGGGTCTAGACCTTCCTTGCTGTATCTGGGCTGCAATAGTATCCCTCCATAGGGAATGGGTTCCTAAAGTCCTTTTGTGCACTAGGGATAAACACTGGCTCCACTGTTAGAGGTCCCCTAAACTGCCCAGGCCTCCTACCTGGCACTTACATTCAGAGGGCTTGGTTCAGTCCAATGCTGGTTTCCCAGCTTTATAACTAGGGTCTCTGTGCTCTCACTAGGTCAGGCCAACTGTTTCTGTGGGTTTCTCCAGTACAGTCTTGTCTCTTTTGGTCATCCCTCCTCCCTCTCTACAATTGGATTCCAGAGTTTCAAGTCATTTTGAATGTTTGTGGCTTATATTTCTGATAACAAATTTAGAAACAGTAAAAGTTTCAGAGTCATGTATTGTTATTTAATTATTGTTATTTAATCAAAATACCAATTAAGCCTGGTCTTCAGAGCGAGTGCCAGGATAGGCTCCAAAGCTACACAGAGAAACTCTGTCTAGAAAAAAAATGCCAATTAAAACTTTTTCATGAAGCAAATCAGATTTTATTGGTTCAATTCTTCATTATCAGGCGAGTCTAGTATGGAGACTTCAGCCTTTGGTTGGGTTCATCAGTCAGAGAGAGATGCTGCAGTTCCTCTCACTGCCTTTCTAGGTAACACTTCTGGACCACCATTCAGAGTCTTCTGCATCTTCTACAGACACCAGCTACTTCTGATTTCCATTCATCTAACCCAGTCTGTCCCTGTAATGTCACAATAAACAAACCGCTTCTTCTATAAAATAGGCCTTCCAACGTCTGAAGACAGTTGTCCCCAGTTTTGATTCCTGGCTTTTTTCTTTATTAGTATTCATGTTGGGTTCCTTGATTCCTATTTTTGTTCGTCACTCAGTACATTCATGTGAGCTTTATCCAAGTAATCCCAGTAGTCTTATTAATCACTACAGTCTTGCCCCAACATGTTTTAAGATCACAGAAACAATTTGGGAATGACTTCCATTTATGATAACCACAGATTAATACATTTGATTTCAGGTAAGATCATTTTGAGATGGATATTTTATTCTAATGCTCATTCATTTTGTTCTTGTAGTGGTTTGGTGACCTTGTGACTCCAGTGTGGTGGGAAGATGTGTGGTTGAAGGAAGGCTTTGCTCACTACTTTGAATTTGTGGGTACAGACTACCTCTATCCTGGCTGGAACATGGTAAGTGCCCTTTTCTCTAGTTATATGGAATTCCCAGGGAAAGGTGAGCTGGTGTACACTGAGTCTATGTCTGCCTTAGAGTTATCTGAAAACACCAATCAGTGTATAAAAGTATTCTGCCAATAAAGGGGAAATAACCAGAATTTAAATGTTAGATTCCCAGAGTTACCTTTTACCTTTTTTTTTTCAAAAAATTAAATAAAATCTGACTTGTTATATATTGTCTTCAAAATGTCACCATTTATCTAAATGGAAACAATTTAGATCGCAGAGTTTTATAATATTAATTATTACATTAGCAATAATAAGGGAACTATCCTTCATAATAGAGCTTACTATAGTTAATAAGTGATATTTTAAGTATATGAAATCTTTCAAAATAGAGAAAAATGACACTGCAAGTTTGCTTTCAAGACATGAAACATACTGATTGGATAAAATATTATGATGTGTTACTTCTACTGATAGGTGTATTTTAGGATTAGGTGACTTGTAACATGTCAATAACTTTTCTTATAGCACTGTGCATGTTACTTGCATGCTCTAGGAATGTTCTGAACTATGAACCCTGAATAGGGCTCTTTGCACTACAAGTTGCGATGTTTTATATCTCTCTGAAACAAAAAGTGGACATTGTGTTTTTTGTGTCTTTTTACATCAGTTTTTCATTTTCCATTTGCCTATTGTTGACTATACTAGTAATGAATAGAACCCACAGGAAGTACTGTTTTAGAGCTCAAAATTAAAATAAATTTGAATTTTATTTTAATTGGTATTAATACATCTATCTATCTATCTATTTGAAATCTCTGATTGCTCTCCAAAAATCTCTACACATTTAATATGTACAGTGGTGTGATTTGTAGTATATTTTACAGGCTATCAGGTAGCGCAGTGGTAGTAGCCTTGCTAGCATGCACAATGCCTTTGTTTGATCTCCAAACTGAAAATAAATAAATGAATAAAGAAAATGCTCTTAAAGATATTTGAATTAAAGCCACAACTACTCTTCTACATTATTGGAAGTATTCATTAGCAAATGTGAAATTTTAATACTTAAATGTTTAAGATGATTAAAACATCTCAGAAAGTACCTTTTGGTTTTTAGTTGACTTTGAACCAGATTTAAATTTCATTATGCTGTGGATTATTACTGATTTATAATTTCATTACACCTCAATATTAAAATATGTTCTTATTACAAATGTCATGTCACACATATAGGTAAGGTTTTTTTTTAAAGCTCATTCAACTGCTTGTAATGAAATCTCCTCTATTCATCATTATGAAATGTACATCTTAGATTAAAATGTAATCAGCAGAACAGTACGTGGGGTGAAAATGGATAAATTTTGATGGTCTTAAGCATGGCTGGATAGCCTTGGTTTCAATGCCCTCAGGTTTTGTCTTGAAATGTTTTGTATATTTTATTAGCCATGTTATAAGTCTGTCTTATGGAGGAGATATTTCAAAGAGGTATTAAAAATGAACATAAAGTATAAGTGACATATCTTTGTCCTTTTATAGAATATGTACTGGAAGCATGCAAACCTTGAGGTGCTAAAATATAAGATTTTGTTTATTATGAGTCAATGCATAGTAATTACTTGGAAATTCATAGTGGCATAATTACAGTGACTCAGAAAGTTCACCCTATCAAATTAAGAAATGAAAGAAAGCTCCATTAACATTAATTTGGCAATTAATTTGGAGTAGAAATAAATTTTCTTTATTTTCACTTTTAAAAAGTGCAAATACTTTTTGATCATTGGTAGCTCTTTGCTTTTAGGCATTGTATTTTTAATTTAATGAAATACTTTCATGTACTAAATTCACAAACTCCACAATAAGAAACTCTTTGTATAGATTGTCCCTCCATAAAACATTGATACCTTCTTTGAAAATAAAATTTCAAGAATAAGTTAGCCACATAAATAAGAAAGGATGTCAAGTGGCTGTATGGCTGTGCCAGCACTATTTTTCATAATGGCATCAGCAAAAGAGCGAAAGAAATACTCCACAAAATAAGAGTGATGGCTGTGTCAGCAGCAGCTCACTATTGTGGTATGTGCAGAAGCTCCTCTGTGAGTGCATGTCTTTGACTGCACTGGAGCTGAGCTGAAAATAGAAAAACCAGAAGCCAGACTCATGTCAGGAGTGAAGACATTCAGAAAGTTGACCTTGTTTGTGTCTAATCTCAATGAGTGCTTTTTATCATTTTTAGACACCAGGATTCAAACACTGAATTTGAGTTAAAATTTGCTAGGACAATTACTACAACAATATACCTTGCATGGGATAGCAATAAAGAAGCCCAGAATGATATGGTATTGTTAAGGAGCTTGTGTATTTTTGTGGGCTGATATTCCTGCTTTGCTAACAGTTACTCACAAGAACTGTAGGTTGTATTATGTGAGTGGTCATGTATTTGCAGAACCAGTAGTCAATACTAAAGCAATCAGCTTTTACATTGTATCTACTCTGTGGAATAGAAAAATGCAATAATATCCATCTCTCCTTGGGGAAAATACCTGGATTTAGTATTTTAAAAAGATATGAGTTCTCATGGGTGCTATGATGTGAGGTCAGTAGAATGAATTATTAAAAAAACAAATAAAAAACAAATCAGATTCTAAGAAAATAATTCAACTAAGTCATCATTGGACATATGAAACAATTGTACTAACTACACTCCCATAGTTTTGTGAGACCTTTGAAATAAATGAATGAATGATTATACCAGTGGTTTTCAACCTTCCTGATGTTGGGACCCTTTAATTCAATCCCTCATGTTGTGGTGACCCAAACAATAAAATTATTTTCATTGCTACTTCATGACTGTATTTTTTTGCTAGTATTTTGAATCACAGTGTAAATATATGATGTTCAGGTTATCTGAAATGTAACCTCCATGAAAAGATAGTTTGACCTGCAAAGAGGTTGTGACCCACAAGATGAGAACCACAGCACTATACAAATGAGTGAGAATATCATGGTCTTTGAAAGAGATCACTCCATTAGCAAAGTGCATAGCCTGTACAGAGAGAGGCTCTAACATTTCCAACTCCAGTAATCTCTTTTGACAATCTAGATTTATAAGAGCTATGCAGAGAATACCAAAGAAGATTCTACATTCCACATCTGCATTTATTCTTACCAAACCAATTTGCACCTGTCCTGGTGACATAAACTACTCTATGGGAACATACACTTTAGGTAACCTATGAAATTTATCAAGGAGAAGGGTCATGGCCTTTAGAAGCAATTTCTTTTACCTTATGGTGAAGGATGTATTTCATCAGGTGTAATTTTTTTTGCTACTTGATTGTAATTTTTCTCAATAATGGTTACTAGGGACTTTACTGGATGGCTCAAGCTCCAGTTTGGTATTGATGGACATTGACATTAAATCCTATTGTGATGGGGATTTACTGGTTGAGCACTCGCTTTGCATGCCTTAGGTCATTAGCTGGATCCCAGTACTTCATCGGGAAGAACAATCATGTTTTCTCAGAAGGAACAAAGGGAGATGTGCGCTAACACCGTATTTTAACATTCTTCAATACCTCTTGATCACTTTCTGTTGAAAACAAGCCTGTGACAATATAATTTTAATTCTGGAAAAGGACATAGAAAATTTTCCTATGTAGAAGCTCTTGTGTCTAGATTAGATTCTGATATGGCTCAAGTCATACCCCTCCACCCCGAGAATGCACATTGCATAGGCTGTCATTGTGATTTGTTCTAAGTTGTTTGTAGGCACCTCTTCTGTCTTCTGAGGGTAGTCTGAGAATGTGTTTCAACTATGACTATTAACTATTGCCATTGGTGTTTTTTCAAAGGAAATTAGGCTGCCACAGAGCCTCTCACATCAGTAAGCTTAAAGTTATACATTGATAAAGTACACAGATTGGGAATTTCCTCTATTTCTTTTTAAGAACACTAGGCATTAAGGAAATTACTAATGTAAATTAATCAACTAAACTTCCTTATGCTAAATACTTAAGAGTATTTTAAGTGTATTGCCTAAAGCTTTAGCAAATGTCCCCAGTTGTCTCTGTCATTGGCAGGACTAAAATAAAAAAAAAAGAACTCTGCCATGAGGCCAGTGTCATTATAATAAAACCATTATCACACTTTAAATTATTTTATTTTCATTCACAAAGAAGAATACCCTTGGTAAATTGAAATATTGAGCTTATTGAAGTTTTTTGGCTTGAATATAGATACATATCTCTTAATCATTCTATTCCACAAAGATACTCTGATATTCATAGAGGAATAAATGAAAAATAAAGAAAAGAATTTGATTGAGGCTGATATTTTACTTGTCCAGGAAGCTGTTCATTTCTTATGCCCATATGTGATTCAATGGCTATATGGAAAATTGCTGTCACATCCTTTTTAAAGGTATTTAATATGCATTTCAACGAATGTCGGCATATTGGTGCTATTGCCTGTAATTCAGGAAAAATAGAAAACAAAATATATTCACCTAATAGCACCAGGGGTCCAGAGTGAGGCCAAAATAAATGTAAGTTTCAGAATTTTACTTTGTAAATTCTGAATACCAAGTAAATACATATAGTAAGTATGCATATACTAAGTTCTTCCTATATATGTGTTTGTGTGTTATCATCAAAGTCCACATATAGAATTTGATTAAGTAGAAATGGGGAATTAGAAGGTGATCCAGTTGTTTTTAATTGGATGATATTTTAATCTTGAGTGACTCTAAATGTGAAAAAATTAAAGTTTCTTGCTAATCTCAAGGTTCTGCAAATTTCTTTAAAATTGAAAATAGATTTTCTTTCATACAATTTATTCTGATAATGTTTCCCTCTCTCAACTCCTCCAAGATCCCCCCAGGTCTCCATCTCAACAAAATCCACACCCTCTATTGTTCTCTCTCATTATAGAACAAAAAGGCATGGAAAATAATAATAAAATAAAAGCAAACCAGAATAGGACAAAACAAGCAAAAAAGGAAGTCAAAGAAA